TACACCAGAGGTTCACTGGATTATATTTTTAATCCTGTGAGAGACTGATCTGAAATCAGACTCCACTGTCCATTGTCTCAAAGATTGGTCTGAGAAACTGAGATGAGACTCCACCATCCACTGCCTGAGGCATGAGTGGGAAAGAGCTGAGCTAACACCCTTACATTGTCTCAAGAACTGGTGTGAGGAATTGAAACTGGACTCCACTGACCATTGTCTCAGAGATGGGTGGGAGGAGCTGAGATAAGACTTCCATCCATTGCCAGGGAGAAAGGTGGGAGGAGTTGAGATAAGACTCTTCCATCCATTGCCTGGGAGAAGGGAGTGAGGAGCTGAATTGGGAATCCACCATCCATTGCCTGAGGGATGAATGAGAAAGCTGACAAGACTCTTCCATCCATTACCTCGAGGATTGCTGTGAGGAATTGCTGTCCATTATCCCAAGAATTGCTGCACATACCTGTGTGTGTGCAGACACCTGCAGTTGGCTGCAAGACCAGAAAAACTGGCCCACCAGAACAGGAATATAAAAAGGGGAGTAAAACATTGCCAAAATGGATACTTCAAGGGAACTCCACAAGGAAACCCACTGCCAATGGACTCTTGGGGGATACTGTGCTCCGATACTATGAGACTATGAACCCTGAAGAACTCCTACTGCCAATGACGATGACAACGGATCCCTGGGACACTGCCGGATACCTGGTGGTGACTACCTCTCTCTCTCTCTCTGCAACCCAAATTCTTGCTTCATTTTCTACCTTTTTTCCAATCTGTCCTATCACTATCCCCTTTATTACAATAACATCCCTTTTTTACAACTGTCTTTTTGTAATTTGTAATAAACAGTCTGATTATGGCACTTGACCTCATTTGTGTCTTAATTTCACTCTTGGGATCACAAACTGAACCAGGGTCTGGGACTGTTTTTTTTTCTCCAGTCAGACCCTGACAAATCCAAACAGATGGCTCATACTGATGGAACTGAGTGTTCTCAGGGAGTAGTGGTTGCTTTGAGTCACAACGAAGAAAGAAACTTCTGTGCAGCTTTTGTGGTAAATGAGATTAGACATCACAGATGCGTTAAAGGACCTGGTGAAAACCACCAAAAAGGCTGGCTAATATCCAGCAGCCCATCAAGCAGGTGCCATGTCAACATGGGGAAGGAACTGTCTTTAGGAGCTTCTATGTACAAAATCTTGTTATGGGCAAAAAGAAACCCACCTTATGTGTAAAGTCACAAAAAATAAAAATAAAAGATCTGATTATTGCAGAAAAATAAAGAAAAGAAAAATAAAGTAATTGTATAGAAAGTCTCAGCAATACTACAGTTAAAGTTGTTACGCATGCACTATCTAGTACCTACCCTTTCTCCTGGTGTCTTGCCTATCCTTTCACCTCCCTACGGCTTGACTCTGATGGAGTGAACACAGTGGATCATCAGCATCCAGAGTCCTGTGCCTGCAAGAGTATGATGTTAATGTTCATAATTTCCTCTTCTTTTTTTCCTCTCTTGGAAACAGCTTTCACTTGGGGCTATTTTTAAATGTTTCCTAATGAAGTTATACACCTTCCTTTTTCACTAGTCTGCAACTATGTATTTTATTTATCTTAAATACTTACTTTTCTCTTTTAATCCCTAAGGCTAGCTTTGTCCTGCTGCAGGTCTGTATTTCTTTAACTGACTATTGGAAAGTTGTTTATAGCCCCAGGGTCTCCACTACCAGCCTGTGCCACATCTCTTACTGTCCTATGCCTATACTCCACACTGCACCTGGTGTCTTCACTGCTCAAGGTTGCTGCTGTTGTAACAAGCCTTCATTTCTGTACGCTGTAATGTTGTTAGTAATAAATATATCATCCTACACAGAATAACTACTTATTAATATCTGTATAAAACCTGTGGTTACACAATACAAAGCAAAAGTAAACTAAATTAGCTATAGACTCGTGTCATTAGAAAAAATTGATGTTACAGCTAGATCAAGTAAAACCACTTGTGCAAAGCCACAAGATCAGAGAAAGTTCAGGCAAAGCACATGTGATAAGCCTCCATCCTCACGTCTTGTAAACCTCAGGACAAAGACTGTGAACTGTTACTAGCAATGGCAATACAGCTGCACCGTTGTTACCGGTATTACTGGGCTACCTACCTTCCAATTATGGATTAGTATTTGTATGTTGCACATTGTACGTAGAAACAGAGATAAATATTTCCACAAAGGGCATGGGAAGGAAGCGGAAGTAATGCTGACGAGAAAACAAGCTATTGCACCTGAACTCACTAGTTTTATGAGCACAGTCCATAGTCCACACGCACTCAGCATAGACACACTGGGCGTATACACCGCAAACAAGGTCACAAAATCCCCAATACAACAATTATGTGTGAGAGTGGAATTGGGGCCACACTAGAATAGCGTAATGATGACTCCTGATTTTATAGCTTACTTCAACAAAATGGGGAATAATAAGCATCTTCCAATAGATATTCTCTAAGTATAGCACAGGATACTTATTTGAGCTTTTGTCTCGTCACAGAATAGCAGCTATTTAAAGCACTGTCAGGTCATCTGCTTAAAGCACATATTCATGCCAGAAAGCAATGAGCATTTGGCTTTGAAAATATAACTTTAATCAATTTTTTTCATCAGTATGGTCCATCATGTTATTCAGAAATAGCTTCTTTCAGTAAATGGGTTGTGAATCAATAGTAGATACAAATAAAGTGGTACAAAGGGCACATCATTTAACAAGCTGCCAATCATTGGAGCAGAAGATGACAGATATCAGTATTCCAAGATGGATACACAAATAATTCAAAAACAGGAAGACATACACAAAGATGTCACATTTTTACAGAAACTCCAGAGTTCTGTCTTGTGTCAAGAACCACTGAATTATACATAAGTTTGTATGCGTTTTAAATGAGAGATCAGAACAAGATGGAGTTTGAGCTGAAGTCTGTTTTTCACTAACCATTTTCAAGCTCATCCCTCTTGCAGAGTTCTTGAAATACAGAGACTAAATTGCCAGGCTGCCAAAGATCTTTCTGGAGCCAGGGAAAAAAACCCAAACAGAACCCAAAAACCCTCAGACTTTGTATTATACCTCAAAGGATCAATTCTTGAGATATACTGACTACACACGATTCCTGTAAGGTGAAAAGTGGTGTTATTCAGCACTTTTTAAGATTTAGCCTCCAACAGAAAGAGGAATAAAAAGAGTTTTTTCAAGCACAGGGATCCTACTGATTTGTATTAGTTATTCACATCAGGACAATCTTATTTAGATGTTGCTAGTAAGAGCTTAGAACATGACTCATATTGTGTCTATCACAACTGTTAATTATTAATTAATATGTCATTTGGGACATAGCTAATATTTTCAGGCCATTTGTGTGAACAGTTGTTTTCAACTGTGAGAGTGCTAGCTGCTAGGAATTCAGTATCCTTAGGTGTTTCATAATTATTAAACATGCATTATGTTAATCTGAAAAATCTTACTTCTCTCATCAAAACTACAAGCTCTGCAACTGCTAAAAAGTGTGATTCTCATGGCATAGCTTCAGCCTGCAGATTACACATCCAGTCATGGTTTAAAAAAACCCAAACAACAAAGATAAGGACAGAATAATTCTAACTACTGACCTGCAGTTAAGATTTCACAAGCTGTCATGCTCACTAACCGTGAGGTTTTACATATTTTCCAAAGTATTTATTATTTAATTGGGAATTCTGCATAATTACTGCAAAGCATAGAATTGTCTCATTTCGCTTTGAACCCTTCTAAGTTACTGACCTCACAAAACATTGTGCTGCAGTAAAAGAGAAACTTGACTCATAGGATGAATGCACTACAATTAGTTTTGAATTTGCCATGTTTTAATGTAGCTGTTCTGTTGTTACTGCCTCACAAGACAGAATTTCCCATTATATCTTCTTAACACCATCTGTTAGTGATGGTTATGACAGTACTGCATAGTGGGTCAGCTGGGAATGGCGCCCCAAATGTGCTAACACTGTATATAAAAGAAATATAAGCTACTCTCTGCCTGGCAGATTCAACAGACAAAAAGCTGGAAGGAAGGAATAGGGGCAGAGGGAATAACAAGGCGGCAGCATATATCGTGCCATTTTTATTTTTGTTTTCACGTGAGTATTTCAGTCCTTTCCCTGAAGTCTCTGTTATGAAAGAACTGAGTAGACAAGATGACCACGGTAACAAAGACACAGACCAAACTATAGCAAGCAGCCTATGAAAATACATCAGAGGAGATTTCGGAGTGCAGACTTCAAGAAAGCAATTCAGTGGTACTGCCTTAACTTCAGTTTCTAGAGGCACCTCGCTTTTTCTTCTTTGTATGGCCCATGTTCAGTGCTTAAATGTCCCACTCCTAAACACTCTGGATGAGGGGAATGGACTTTCTTATTTAATACCTACTCTCAGGCTAAAAATTCAATGAATTTTTGCTTTCAATATAGTTGCTAGCTAGGAAGTGTTGGTATTTCATAGATAGGAAACAGAAAGGCAAAAATTGTCTGACTAAGGAAATCTGGGAACAGGTAAGTATATCTACAGCATCTGAGAACAGGTAAGTACATCTACAGCATTCTTTTATTTTTTTAATCTATACACTGCGCATCCTCAAGTGTACTTTACAATAGCTAATACATGTAAAACTTTTGCCATTATTTTTGTAGTAAGAAATGTATGCATTACCCTATTTTCGTTAATAAAGCCTTCCAAACTATCCAGCTTCACTGGATCAATATTACCAATTATTTTGACCACACTTCAGATGAATCTGGGCATAAAACAACTCATTGTCACAAAGCAGTCTTAAGCATCTATTTAATGAGATTGGCAACACCAGTACCAGATGAGTGAAAGTCTTTCTTACACTGTATCATCTCCTAAATCATTTAAGTACATTAACGCTTAGAAATTACAGATATTAAAAAAAAAAAGAAGAAGACAACATTTGCCAGCCAGTACTGTATCTAGGACATCATTTATTTCTTTCAAAATTCAATCAGATGAGTGTAAGGTCCATTTGTATCCAGTTTTAACACCTGCCTGTTTCCATACGTGCCATGCTTGACCCGAACCCCTGCCTCTGCACATCTGGTGCTGGCAGACAGTTCTTTTTCACACAAAGTCACAAACTGAGAATAAAGTTCCAAACCTTTTTCTTTTTCAATGTTTGCATGGTACTGCATCTTCTTTCCCTTCAGTTTACCACCTAGAGTAGCTTGTGGTATGATTAGCACATCGCCTGGTAAATCAAGAACAGAAACATACTCGCCACTTTCATTTTCACTTAATTTAACACTCAACAGCATATGAACTGCAAAAAAAAATAAAGTAAGAGTTAGTGTAACTGAACCAAATTAAAGAGCACCTAATAAAACATCATAAACAAGATATAACAAATATTGTGATGTGTGACAAATTATTAGAGTTAACAGGAACTGCTTATTAATGAAATGAAACGAAACACTATCAATCAGCTAAGACGTCTGAGTATTGTGAAGAATGTCAAGGATATTTATATTAATATAATATGACTAAAGACTTGTATTTTGGTTGTCTGAAATCCTGAAGTTGATTCTAGCTGGACACCCCCAGAGGAACCCAGGATCCAATTAGTGACCTAATTTAACTACTGTATACTCTAATAGGCAACATTTGCACAACACTACACACTGCAGGAGATAACACCATCTTCAGTGCACTTTGGAGAAGTTTCTGCCCGCGGGTCTTTTCATTCTGCTTGCAAGAGTTCGAAGCAGGACCCATCACTGATCTGGGCTGAAGCCACAGCTCTGCAGTTTGGTCTCAAGTGGAGTGAGTGTCTTTCAGAACTCCACTGTGAGATGAATGGGTGCCAGCTTGTCTTTTGAGAGAGCAAATGGGCAGGAAGCTCAAAGATGCAATTTGGTCCATAAGCCAGAATATATAAACTTGCAAACAAAATTGATGCATTTACTAACATTATATTTCCCAATGTATATACGTTTGCATAAGAAATCAAATCATTCCCCAAAAACTTCCTCCAACTCTGTAAAAGCTAGGAGGATACTAGTCATGCCTCCAAACCCATAAAAGTTTAATGTTGTTGGAACCAAGAAGAGCTGAGTTGTGATTCAGGAAGTAAACCCAGTCATTTAAACAGTTTCCAAATATATTTAGGAAAAAATATTTTATAAGACAAGACACTTAAGGAGGATACTTGTAGATGAATATCCTAATAGGAAACAACTTTTTCTGACCTGTTTCAGCAGCCAGACAGCTGAAAAGGTCATTATTCTCAAGTAAAGTAACACTCTCATGAAACCCTCACAAGCACAAAAGCAATTTTCATATCACAGTTTTAAATACACACAGTGATTTCAACTTAGTTTAGCATCACAGAAAGATTCTGCCCTCTAAGGCCAAGACCCCCAGCAGCTGCTCTAAGCATTTTTAATAGCACCTGTGCTGTTGCACAGGCTGTGTGCACTGCCAGGTCTTTCTGCTGGTCCCAGTCAGTAGCCCCAAATAGACTACTGTTACTTGACCTTTTGAAAAACCACTAATATCAGACAGTCACGGAAAAGGGGCACTTTTATCTGGAAATAAAAGTGGCATCATGGAATTTCCCAGGTGGTGCAGTACTACTGATGGAGCAAAGGAGGGTGAGGAATTAAATAAACGTACAGAAGAAAACAAAAGCAAGCAACCAACCAAAACTGCAAGCTGAAACAACAGTGGGTGAAGACAGAAATCGCTCCCATTTGATCTAATCCACAGCATCTTCTCTGCTTTGAGGTAAATGTTAAAGTGCATGTGGAGAAGAGGGAAAGAACTGCAGATATTGCTGTTATCACTTCTGAACCAGAAAACTGCACTTAAAATGCTAACTGTATATAGTATTACTGGAAGGAGACAGGAAGAACACTGTTTAGTTATCCACCCAACTCCCTCTACTGGCTATAATTTTAAATATCCTGCACCTACAGTGGGATCAGTGTTAAAATACTTCTCAAATCAAGCCACAAATTATTTAAAAACAGTTTTCTCTAAACTGAGATTTGTCCTGGGCTGAACCTGCTGCCTGATACATGTAATATGTCAAACAGCAGGTGACACACTTTGTTTGCTAGAATGTTATCATCATGGGAATTGACTTTCTAAATGAAAGGTAGATCATGAGCAGATGGACAGAGTGAGAAGTATGCACAACTGTCAAAAGAAACAAGATCAAGCTGTTCTTTTAGCCAGGTGATTGATTTGAAATGATGCTGTCTGATGGCTTTTTGACTTCTTGTCCAAATGGTTGCTGCCTTCTCTGCCTCTACTGCTCTTCTTTTTCAACAATACAAGAATTGATAAGGATTATATCATACCAATTTTTGGAACAAGATCTTCATCAGCACCTTTGAAGAAGCATATGTAGATAACAAGCCCCCTCTGGATCTATGAAAGATTATAGAAAACTATGTCAATGTTTCTCATTGTCCAACATGCACACTTATCATTAAAACTAGTATCAAAAAATAGCAAAACTGCATAAGAAAAGCTTCTGAGAGCAGTTTTAGTTATCTAGTATAACTTCAGACATTTACGCATGATACTGTGTAAGTTTATGAGATATATGGTGATTATCTGCACAATGCTTCTACATACAATTAAGCCAATTTATTAGCTCCATGTAAAGTCAAATTTAATTGGAATATACAATGGACAGTACTAACATAGACAAGGTGACAAGATGAATTACAGTACTTAAATCCAGCAAAGGAAATAATGTAAGCTATTTTCTATCAAATATAAAATATTTTTCAGTGTGAATTACAAGTTTATTTCCTATCATGAAACATGACAACCACCACAGGACTCAGCAGTGAACTGAACTGTATTTTGATGTCAAAAGTAATCTAGTACAGGATAATTCTGAAAAAAACATTGAGTCTGTTAATTAAAGATTGCAGCATGATGACCAACTTAAATCTGATGACCAACAACTGAAGTTGTTCAGAATATTATTTAATGGTGGGTAAAATATTTTTGGTGAAATGGGACCTTTCCCCTGATTTGTATAAAGTATATGCTACTTCTTTAGCAGTCAGAAGAACTACTTGTAAGAAATACTGATTTGAGGGAAGAATTAGGTCTGTACTGAGGAAAAAGCACAAGGAAATTCTTGTATAGCTTTCTTGGTTAGTTCACAAGGACTGTGTGCAACAACCTCCGCTTTATTAAGACAAACTGACAGGATCTGCAGCCAACAGCAATTATGTCTCATGCACAGGTATACCTGAATGGTTTAACTTCTTCAGGACAAAAAAAGAAAGGCATACAATATCCACAGGCATACAGTATCTAAAACCTCAGCACTGCTTTGTCAAGAATGAGTGTCTTTATATTTTTGTTAGAAGAAAGATAAATGTCAGGTTATGAAATGTCACCTAAGAGATGCTAAGTAGGTTGGGGCAGGAAGGAGTCACTAATATACATTATCAAAGCAAAAGGGTAAGAAATGTGGATAGTTTCTAAAAATACCTTTATTATTTTTCTCCTCTTTTATTTTTCTTTTCCCCTTTTCTTTAAAAGATAAAGGTTTTAGGTGAAAAAAAGCTCAGCTATACACATGAGATTTTATCCCTTTGTTATTGCAGAGATTAAACAAAATGCTCAAGGCAATGACTGAGAAGAGTTATGTCCCCTCGACTATTTTTCTGGTAACTAACTTCTGGAAAAGAGGCTGCTCTTTGTAGCCAAAACGTCACATGCTGAGAATTTTCAAAAGCTTTAAATGGCTCCTTTCAAAATTCATTTTGACCTCTGCACAATATAATATATGTTCCCAAATGACTGCCATATTTCATAAACACTGTAAGAAATTTGATGGCCTGAACCTCAAATGACATTTCAAACCATCTGTTTGAATAAAGGAGAGAAATGCAGGCTGCCAAATATGAAATAGCCTACATGCTTAGCTAAATAGTCATTCAACAAAGACCAGCATCAAGGTATTCATAGAGAATAACAAGGTACATATACGTACTAATAAAAATATTTGTGATAAAATAGGCCAAGCACATTTACATTGTATGTACCTGACACTGAATTAGAAGTGACTCCATTTAATAGCACACATCACAGAGAATCATTCAACTTGAGAACTGTGACTGTGTTTTGCAGTCTCACATACAGAAGTAACAATACTCTGCAAGCAGTTCATTAAAAAAGAGAAAAAGGTAAAGAAAGTGACACCAGCAAGTCCTAAGACCAGACAGCTAAAGAGTAAGTAAAAACAGTCATAATTTTTCCAGCCTCCATTATAATTCGATGCCTATTTTTGATATACCTTTTATCACAAGATGAGACATAGTATTAAGGGGAATTAAAGGGACAGGAGGTCTGACGGAAAAAAAGTAATTCAGGGACAAGTTAAAGATGCTAGAGGATGTTTCTATTTGTATTGCATGCTTATGATTTTCTACAACACTTTTCAACCATATTATAGTTGAAAACTATTCAGCTATTTGTATGTTGAAACTTATAGCTTCAACTATAGCTGAAAACTGTCTGAACACGTGCGAATATGTCTCTACCTCTTCTTATGTCTTACTTTTTTTTTAGTTTATTTAATGAAATAGTAGATGTAAAATTGAATACAATTTCAAGAGCTAACCTAGTAATAATAATGCATGTTGGTCCTCTGATCTTGTATCTGTGTTTCGGGTGTCCTAAGACTAGTGCTTGTGGCCAATGTAAGGAATGGGAATGTAAAAACCTTTTGAACCAAAGCAAAAACATTGCCTTTGCTGGAGGTCCTCTGTAACCTGTCAAAAGTCTAGCTGACTGCTCTTCACAACTATATTTAACTAAGGAAAAATTAAGCAAAATAACACAAGTAAGAAAGTCATAAATTCAACATGCTGATGTGCAAAGAGCCACTGCAAGGAACTTACGTAGTGATGGGCAGGTGCTTGGCCAGGAAAACTCTGCTTTGTGTGGATTTACTGTTATCAGTAAAATGCCTACATAAATAAACCAGCAGAGCAAGTTACTTTGCAGTGCTAGCATTTATTATACAACTGTCCTAAGTAATCATCAGACCAGGAAACCTGCATCATGAAGGGATGAAGTACCCTGAAGCCATATAGCCAGCCTTAGCAATACTGCCACCAAACACTGCTTTTTACCTTTTACAGGAAAAACAAACAGCTAACTCCTTCCTCACCCTCATTACTAAATATATCCATCTGAATTTTGCAGTATTTCATTAGCAACCCCCAAATATATTCTGCAAAACTACCCCTTTTATCCCTTCACCCCAGGAAAATGTAATGCAACTGACAGCGGAAACTGAGTCACTTCGTAATCCTTCGGAAGCCAGTTTGTGAAACTAAATTATATATTCTTTGACTTTTCATGTTCAGGTCAGGTTTGCTACCCTGTGAGAAGATTTCTTCTTATTTCATACATCCAGCTACAGCAAAGAGAGATTACATCATCTACTGCAGGTCACAAAACAGGTCTGTGCCTGGTACCTTGCACTTCTTTTTGTTGTCTTAACCAGAAAACAAATCAAGGGAAAGAAGATAAGGGAAAAACAGTTTCCATTGCATAAAGCATAGGCACTTACACTTTTTAGCTGAATATTCATTTTACATTTATTTTCTCCCACAGTTGTGAAATACACCAAATCTCACCTTTTTTCTCTCCTGCCTTTAAAAGGAGAATTCCCTTTTTTATCCCCCTAAGTATTTTGCTGTGTACATAAACCTTTTATGGATGCTATCTAACCAACATTTCTCCATAAGCAAGGCACCCCATCCCCAGTAATCCTCAACAGGGCAGAAAAACTCGGTCATGAAAACACAATGAAGGCAGTGATTCATGTATAGACATAAAGTACTCTCAAACCTTTTCCCAGATAAAGAACACTGACTCTGAAGTTCTTAAAGTACCTACAGGGGTCTCTTACAACTCAGAACCTATTCAAAGCCACCTACAAAACGCATTATTTATAGGATACTAGAAATTTCTCAAGGTGAGGACCTACTTTTAAGTTGTTACAGATCATCAGGAAACACTGGTTTATGCAAATAATAGTTTATTAGGTCTGGTTTGGGTTTGTTTTTTTTTTTTTTTTGCATTCACATGCATATATAGGGAGCAACATTACAGAAAACCAGCAGCAATGATTTCTTCCAGTGACCTCTAAAGTAGTCATACTAAAGAAAATTGGAACTTTGCATAGGGTTTTTTTTCCTGCATGTTGAGTTCTTGTTAAAACAGATTTCTCTCGAAGGGCCCCAGGTGCCCAGGAAAGATTACCAAGTACCCCATGACAAATATTAGTATGGTTCACGTCTGCAAAGTATCTGCTGCTGAGACCACCCAAGTCTCTTGCAGATTCCTTTAGTGCCATCTATTACTTTCTCTGTGATTTTGGTTCAGCCATTTAAAACTTCACAGAACAGATATATACAGAATAACCTCCTTGCAACAGAATTACTCATCGTATCTCTAAACCATAACATAGGCCTCTTTTGAGACAGTTGAAAAGATAGCCAGCAAAATTACATTTCTGCTTTTATTTACTAGATCTACAATTATTTCTGAGATTAGCAAACTAGAAATAGGGTATTTCTCCTCTAGTTAATTTATGCTGCGCTGAGCAACTTTTGCTACAATTAACCTTACACCAAGAAGCTAATGATGCAATACACACAGATGTACTTCAGCCAAACATAGTATCTGTGAGATGACACGTATCTCCTCTGAGTAAAACGTTCTATCTTCCCAAGCAATGATGCAGAAACTAGGTCTCCTGGACCCACCTGCCTCTTCTGAGCAAGGGCAGAACTGTTTTAAGAACAATGTGAAAGTCAAACACTGGAAACACCAACTTTTTTTTTTTTTTTTAAACTCCCTTCAGATTTGTTGAATGAACTCATAAGCTCTTCAAACTCACTAGAATTTTTACTTTTTAAGTGTGAGTGACTATGTTTAGCCCCTTCTAGTTGTAGTAGACTTTAAAAAGGACAAAAAACAACACCAAAAAAAAAGCCAAGGGGTAAATATTTGGCATCTTCATAGATGAGTTATTCTAGTGCAGGTAACCCATAAACAGTGACACCTACAGCACAACAGTGCATCCCAAAGGGCAGCCTTCATACTTTGGTAAACAGCCCTGGTCTGTATGCACAGCGCATAGCCCAGGGAGTCTGCAGACCTACCTACCTCTCCCAACAGAAGACTATGGGAAGAGGGAAATTATGATGTTCTCCTCTAGCTGTGTGGAATCTATGTCCTAAATTTAACTTTTGGTTAATGGCCTAGAAAACAAAATAAATTACAACTACTGCTGCCACAGCCCTATTGCTGTACCTGGTGTTTCTTCTCCACGTGTACACTAACTCACAAAGTACATGGCTGCGCCCATCAGCCAAGTTTGCAGTGCATCTGTGAAAATGTGTCTATGAAAGGCCAGATAATGGCAACAAAGGCACAATGTTAGAGGGGAAGGTGCTGTTTTGTGGTGGGGCAGCTGTGCTCTTCTGGAGGACCCAAACTAGAACATAGGTGAAGAATAAGGAGTAGCAATGAGAAACCTCTGAGCACTGATCCCAGCCTCATGTGCTGCTTGTTGATTCACTGAAGGGACTGACTGTAAACTCTGACAATAACAAGGGGTTGCGGAGAGGGGTCTGTGGTGGAAACTAGGAAGGGAATAGAAGACGTGTCTGAAATGAAGCTTAGCCTGGAAAAGGAGGAGGGATTTTTCTTCAAATGCCTAAATATTTGTGAGTTGTTGGTTTGGGTTTTTTTTTCAATATTGAAATGACTAATTAAATTTATTAAACTGGCAGTGAATAATTGAATTCCCGAAGTCAAGACTGTCTTGGCAGTGCCAGTAACGGGTAAGTGATTTCCCTGACTTTACTCTGACCCACTTGAATTCCTCCTTTGGTTCCTCTCCCACCGTCCCGGTCAGGGTAGGGGAGCGGCCGGGTAGGCGCTCAGCTCCTGGCAGTAGCCAGCTGGCCACTGGGGCTGCTTTCAGCACAACTGTCTCGCTGAAGAACGAAGAGACAGGTTTTGAAGGCAGGCAAGGCCAGCAGCCCAGCCCAGCCCAGCCCGACCGAGATCTCCTGAAACTCCAGGCTTATCCACCGCTGTCACCGACGCGGTCGCGCTAAGGGGAGGCTGGAGCCTCGCTCCCGCCGTCGCCACCGAGTACCGTCCCCACGGCCTGCGCACTGCGGCCTCGGCGAGCGGCCCCTGCCTCCATCCATACGCTCGTCGTGCAGCCGACGGAGCGCCTTGCTGCTGCCCGCCTTGGCCCAGCGCAGCCCCGAGCCGCCGCCGTTTCCCCCGCTCCTCCGAGGGGTGAAGGGCCGAAGCGGACGTTACCTCCACCCATTCGGCCTCGGCGCCGTGTTCGGGCGGCTTCACCTGCAGCCTGGCGTACGTGCACTGCTGGAGCAAGGCCCGAGCCAGCGCCGGGGCCACGACCGCCATAACGATCCCGGCTCGGCCTGAGAAGGGCGGGGGCATGCGTGCGCGGTGCGCGGCCCCGTCGCTGCCGCCGGGATTCGCGTAACGCCTTTCCGGTACCCCAGGCCGCGCCGCTTTGAGCCGTGCTGTGAGGCTGGGAGCCGCGCCCCAGGGAGCGCGGTGTCGCAGGCGAATGGAAAGAACGGGGCGGGGGCCACCGACGAGCTCTGCAGGAGGCAGCGACTTTACGCTGCAGATATTTAAAAGCAGTTTATGTTGACACGCAAGAGGTGAAAAAAGTCCTTGCTGAAAATGTTAGATAAAACTAGCAAATACCTTTCGCAGAAGGTAAAACAGGGCTTGTGGTCTGTCGGTGGCTTCTAAGGAGGGGGAGGCAGCAAGGATACAAGCTTTGGAACAGAATAAGCAAAGTATCTCTACAGCTCAATTTACCCGTGTCCTACAGCTACCGGGAAGCGGGTGTGGGGAGGGTAGTCTCTATGAGAAATGGAAAATCTGCTTCTTTTGTGGTGGGGAAACGTTACGTGCTTGGGGTAAGAGTCGTATGTTGTGTAGTTTCTGCGTGAAAAAACAAACAAAACACTATTAATCTGAATGTTGTCACTTCTTTATAAACAACTAATGTTTGTGTTTCAGGTGACCAAGATGAACCCGTCAAGTTGGAGAGTTTCTCTTCAGTAATGTTGCTTTGGAGTAGAGAGAACAGAAAATAATGTACTGAAAAGGGAGCTGGAGACGGAGGGATCAAAATATGACAAAAAAAGTAGTTCTGAAGTGAGATCCCAATGCTAAGGGAAAAAGTTAAAGTATTGCAAATACTTTGTTACCTGTCAGGTTTTTTGCTACACACCTAGATAGTCATTGGACAGTTCCGAAATTAGAAGAGTGCCTTCCTCCCATCCATGAAATCTGACAGATGCAATTTTTTAATAACACGGGCTTCAGAAAGTCAGGATACAGGGATGCAGAATTAAATGCCTCTCTCTGAATTAATTTTAAGACTGAAGATTGTATTTTCACAACCGTGTTCAATTTTTATTTTTTTTTTTTTATTAATACTTCTCACTGTGGGTGAGAAGCCAAATTTTGTTACCTGGCCTCCATCACAGAGTAAGATTACTGAAGATGATTACTGCACAGGAAGGGGCAATATGCAGTCATGAATAGCTAGTGTTATACCTAGGGATGTATTTGGCTTCTCTGTGTTATTTAAAAACGTTCTCTCTTGCATGAGTGTTCAGTGACGTTGCTCTTCCCAAAGCAAACCTTTATGGAAGAAGAGGAAATCACACTAAGTGATTAGTACAAAAACTAGCTAAATTTTGTTAGCTGTAGGGTATTGTTAAGTATGAGCTGGTTTTATTTAAACTCAGCTAATTTTATTTAAAATAACTTCTGTTCACTTACTCTAAAGCCGTATCCCCAGACTCATTAGGAAGAGTTTAATGCTGTAGCAATCCATTTTAAATGAGTTTTTTCTCCATATGTATTTGTGATATAAATTGATTGTTAAAGCAAATGGATTATACTACAATCTGAGTAAATCATGTAACCAGATTATAGAGGGATAGTAATACACAAGGATGTTGATCGTTCTTTGTTGCAGTACCGTTATTTACACCAGGATTTGATGAAGAACATTTAGTTATGTGCAAGTTTCAACACAGATGTGTGTGAAACAGCGTATAGAAAAATTAGTATGACATCATTGTTTATTTTTGGATTCTTGGTGGAATTGTATTTTCTTTGGGAAGACAAATGAATTTTCTTGTACTGCATCTTGAATTTTTTGAATCTTTTTGGTCCATAGTTAGGTTAAGAGCCTCTTTTTGTATGCCAAAGAATGACAGTAAGTTTGTTGGTTACGTTTTAGACAAAAGTTTGGATTTCACTGTTTTTTCACAAACCTCCTGACATCTAAAGAATGTATCAGTGCATAAATTATATTGATATTTTTATCAGTTATTTATCCAAATATTTTTTTCTACATTTCAGATTTGACACCTGTCTCAGAATATTTCTTTTATCCTCTCTGCTTGTTGTCATTGGGCAGAAAGTAGGTATTTTGAGAATGGTATTCAGAAGACATTTCTGGTTACTTTCACATCAGTTCTCTTGTGGAAGGGCAGATGGCAGTATGAACCACTTCTCACAGATTTCAGTGGACATGTGTTTTTTTCTTCCCTTTTGTGTGAATGGTCATGCATATTTCATCTACATTTAATGGAATGAATCGTTTTGTGAAGAGGGGGCTGGGTGCTGGGAGCTTTGCCTCTGTGTACTTAGCTTTCTCCTGTTTTATCAGACGAGGAAATGCTAGAGGTCTTTCAGTACCAAAACGATCTCGAGTGGTCTTGAATTTTTCCCTAGGGATGATTTTTTTTTTTTTTTTTGTTAGTATTAAGTTGCAGTTGCATACTCTGTGGCAGGGGCAGTAGTTGACTGGAACTTTGAATGGACAAGATGCATCTTGGATGCAATTCCTTTGTCTGTGGTGTCTGAAACCATGATCAAAGGTCTTTGAAGCAGCTATCACATCAACAGTGTCATCTGTTTTAAAGAGAAACCATACAAAGATGCAGTGGCACTTGGATAGCAAAGATACAAAATAGGTTGCTGGTAAGGTTATATCTTGGTAGAACAACTGCTTGTGGGACAGACATACTAAAAGTACACTTTTTAATTTACCCATGCTGAACAGATCAGTCCCTCAAAGAAAAACTATAGATACGCGGTATCTTTTTTTCAAGATGTTAAAACTGCCACAAGACAGCTCAGAATGACAGTCTGTTTTGTTTCTGAAGTGATGTTTACCATCTTACATCCTGAACTGAGTCAAGCCCTTTGCTTTCTGTTGGATAACTTTTTCTTCTCTTTTGCTCCCAGATTACATATTTTGCTTGTTTCTTAGCTACGTAGCCTAACATACTATCTGGGATGAGCTATCTGGCTCTTCATGTTTGGTGATTTTTATTTTTTTGTAGCCTGTTTCTCCATGTAGTTCAAGATCCAATTAAGCTTTCTTCTTTCTACAGCCTCAGAATTGCTAGCTGAAATGCTGATTAGCTGGAAGAGAGGAAATACTGCTGAACAGCAATGTGGATGTACAGAGGATTAGGTGGTCGTGTGTCGTGGTTTAAACCCAGTCAGCCACTTAGTATTGCTCACTCCCCCCCCCCCGCCTTCCTCCCACCACTCCCAGAGGGATGGGGAGGAGAATTGAAAGAATGTAACTCCCACGGGTTGAGGTAAGAACAGTCCAGTAACTAAGGTATAACACAAACCAGTACTGCTACCACCAATGATAATAATGATAAGGGAAATAACAAGGGAAGAGAATACAACCGCTCACCACACACCAACTGATACCCAGCCTGACTGAGCAGTGATCCAACCCCTCTGGGCAACTGCCCCCAGTTCACACACTGGCCATGACATGCTGTGGTATGGAACACCTCTTTGGTCAGTTTGGGCCAGGCGTCCCATCCCCCTGACCCCCCCCCCCCCCCCCCCGCCAGAGCATGAGACTCAAAGTCCTTCGTCAGAATAAACATGACTTAGCAACAACCAAAAACATCCGTGCCATCAGTGCTGTTCCCAGGCTGAAAGTCAAAACCACAGCACTGCACCAGCCACCAGGGAGAAAAAATTACTGCTACTGAACCCAGGACATAGAATCATAGAATAGTTAGGGTTGGAAAGGACCTTAAGATCATCAAGTTCCAACCCCCCTGCCATGGGCAGGGACACCTCGCTCTAAACCATATTACCCAAGGCCTCGTCCAACCTGGCCTTGAACACTGCCAGGGATGGAGCATTCACAACCTCCCTGGACAACCTATTCCAGTGCCTCACCACCCTAACAGGAAAGAATTTCCTCCTTATATCCAATCTAAACTTCCCCTGTTTAAGTTTTAACCTGTTATCCCTTGTCCTACCACTACAGTCCCTAAGGAAGAGTCCATCCCCAGCATCCCTATAGGCCCCCTTCAGATACTGGAAGGCTGCTATGAGGTCTCCACGCAGCCTTCTCTTCTCCAGGCTGAACAGCCACAACTTTCTCAGCCGATCTCTGTACAGGAGGTGCTCCAGTCCCCTGATCATCCTTGTGGCCCTCCTCTGGACTTCTTCCAACAGATCCATGTCCTTTTTATGTTGAGGACACCAGAACTGCACACAATACTCCAAGTGAGGTCTGAGGTCTCACGAGAGTAGAATAAAGGGGCCGGATCACCTGCTTCGACCTGCTGGTCATGCTCCTTTTGATGCAGCCCAGGATACGGTTGGCTTTCTGGGCTGCAAGCGCACACTGCTGGCTCATGTTCATTTTCTCATCGACCAACACCCCCAAGTCCTTCTCCGCAGGGCTGCTCTGAATCTCTTCTCTGCCCAGCCTCTAGCTGTGCCTGGGATTGCTCCAACCCAGGTGTAGGAGCTTGCACTTGTCATGGTTAAACTTCATGAGGTTGGCATCAGCCCACCTCACAAGCGTGTCAAGGTCCCTCTGGATGGCATTCCTTCCTTCCAGCATATCAACCAAACCACACAGCTTGGTGTCATCATCAAACTTGCTGAGGGCGCACTCAATCCCACTGTCCATGTCAGCAACGAAGATGTTAAACAAGACCGGCCCCAACACCGATCCCTGAGGGACGCCACTCGTTACTGGTCTCCAGCTGGACATTGAGCCATTGACCACAGCTCTTTGTGTCCAGCCATCCAGCCAGTTCTTTATCCACCGACTGGTCCATTCATCAAATTGATGCCTCTCCAATTTAGAGACAAGGATGTCGTGTGGGACAGTGTCGAACACTTTACACAAGTCCAGGTAGATGACATCAACTGCTTTACCGCTGTCCATCAGTTTTGTAGCCCCATCATAGAAGGCCACCAAATTAGTCAGGCAGGATTTCCCCTTGGTGAAGCCATGCTGGCTGTCACCAAGCACCTTGTTGTTTTTCATGTGCCTTAGCATGCCTTCAAGACATCATGTTAGAATCATTTTATTGTCTAAGTAGCAGACATTTAGACACATTATGATGGCTGTATTTAGTACTGACTTCTTTCTTATTCAAGGTGCTGTACAGACATTAAGGTCAGGAGCATGTCTGCCTCCCAGCCATCATCCTCCTTAGTCCAGAGGTATTTAAAAATAAGGAAGGCAGAGAGAGGGTATGAAGAATTTCCCTAGTGCGAGTCAAGCAGCAGAAATATGTTGGAATAGCAGTCATGTCAATCAAAATTCACAAGTATTACACAATGCCTGCGTAAGGCTACCATAAATCACTCAGAGAAGACATGGGGTGAGGACTGTCAGCAGCCTAGCCCTCCAGAGACCCCCCAGATCTGTTTACCCTTCAAAAGAAACACTGGGGGAAGGTGACTGAGAGGAAGAGACGGCATTGTGATTTTTATCTTTCTGGTTTGCAGTATAGCCCTGAGGAAGATTGTGACCTCTTCAGCCCCAGTTTTGTAGCTTCAGTTGGCACACCTCTTCAGCTCCTCCAGCAGAGCCAGCTTGCTGTCCCCAGGAATTTCTCAATCGTTTTCAGTGAAGGCTGGTATTCCTGTTGTGGAAGAGCAATCCTGCGATTTAAGCAGCTGATTTTATGCATGTTTAAAGTATGCAGTGAAAATTAAATACATTAGTAAAAATAGATCAGTGTTTTGTTTAGTCCTTCATACTGTTACAAAACAGATACTGAAATGTTAGAGCAATCAAAAGTTAATTAAATTTCTGAATAACAGCGTGAAAGCTATGTTGGGTACAATTGCAGCTTTTCTAAGTGAGAAGCAGAAATTTGACTGTTGTGGGAGGAGGAAAGTAGCCAGATAAAGACACAGAACCTGTTTGCTTACCATATTGTTTAAAGGAACTAAGCACACTATTAATGATGGTCTCTTTCTCTACAGGTGTTGGGCATGTTCATTTGCCTGTGATGTTTAACTACTATAATTTTCCCCTGCTTGGGTGTATCCCATACCAAACCTTTGTCTACATAATGAAAAGACATTAATATTAAAAGGACTTTTGTATCCTGCTCCAAAGAAATCAACAAAGCAGTGGGAATAGCCTACCTACTGTATGTACCTTAGGGTATAATTGTAACACCTTGCACTGATTATAAGCAATACAGTGGGTTTTTTACAGAACTGAGCTACTCTGATAAGCTTTGGTCCTGAACCTTTCTGAACTTTATGGTTACAGGGCCTGGCGCAAACAGCGAGGAGTAAGGACGCTGAATGAGTTTGCAGCTGAACAGGCTGTTTGCCAGCCCTGAGCAAGCTTGGTGTACTCAGCCAGCCAGCTTTGATCAGTGAATCTCAGTTTCAGGTTCTTGTTCTCTATACAGAACTGCTGACCACACATCTGGGCAGAGCCTGGCATTGGTCTGGCAGTGTGGTAGGTGGCAGTTACCTTTGCTTCAAGCCACTAAGCTAACTCACACCTGGCTGTTCTAGATGGGTGGTGCAAACTGGGTTCCTCCTAATGGAGGAGGTATTTATACTGAACCCTCTTGCAGAGGCCCTGCAGAACACAGATCCTACATTCTTTGTGCTCTATGCTCATGGCTGGTTTGGTGCAGGCCCAAGGTGACTCCACCAAGTATTTGTGCTGTGCTTCGCAGCCCCTGGATCATTGTCCCTGTTATGCTGTATACTGCCTCTGCTTCTGCCATGTAAAGCAATTCAGATCTGTTCTCCTCCCGTTATTGCTGCATCACTGCTCTCTGCACCTCATAAACACTTTTGCAATAGTAATTAGTGATAAAGAGGTGTGGTTTTGTTAGGTTGTTCTATTTGTTTCATTTTCAGTGAGAAATTTTGATGATAATGTGAAGACATTACTATAGACAAAAATGTATCAATATCTTCTAAGAGCTGGAACTTGAGTTTCTAAGTTTTCAATAGATTTCATGTGTAAAATTATCAGGCTATTGGTATAAAGCCTCATTTTATTATTAAAAATGTACATGGATTGAGATGTGGCTTTTTCTGCTCCTTTCACAATAGAATGAAAGGTTATTTATTATTCTCCATGTACCTGGAGGACTCCTTGCCCGCAGTTACAGTTGAGTATGCAGGCATAATCAGGTTGTAATTTCTTTGCCTTTATGTGGATGACTTTCAAAATAAAACTTGCTACAGCTTCAGGCCAAAAGCTTCCTCCTTGAGCCACAGCTCCTATCATTTTTTTCCCCTCAGGCATACTTAGCTAGTCAGGGAAGTGTGCAGGCAAATGATAGGTCATTAGAAAATTCTCTGAATGGCAAACCTCTGAAGTCATCCCAAGTGCTATTTGCCATGCATCATGATGAAACTGGGTAAGTTTGAGGAGGCACTAATTATATGCTTGGTCTGTCATTTATCAGTTGTTGGAGCTGTTGTTCTTTGAAAATGGCAGCCTCTTTCATGGCACAGTTCAACAAGATTGCCAGAGCTCAATGAGCCAAGCAGGGTTGACAGATTCTGGTATTTTATTCCCTTCAATATAAGAACATCCCATTACAACCCAAATGGGTATCTTGCTTTGCTGTAGCACTGCATCATATACAGATACAGTAATGTTGATCTGTGTGCTTTTCTTAAAATTGTATTTTGGGAACTAATTCCCCTTAAAACAGATAGCAACCACAGGACTTGCATTTACCATCACCCTTGATGGTTTGTTTCACTTAATACAATAGTGAATATATAATCCTTTCATGATTTTAACCAACATAAATAGAAGGTGATCTTGTTTCCCCTCAGGTCTTCTGAGAAAAAAGCAGATGTTTAATGCAGTGAGCTAAATAATAGAAGATTGTAAATTGTAATGAATATTCATGGTTTCAAATAAGATAATGGACCATGTGTCAAGAAATAATGTGGTTTCCTGCTATTATTTCCAGTGTGGCTTAACATGTTTCACAGAGCTTCCAGTTTCAAGAATTGCTTTTTAATACTGAGTTTTCACACTTTCTTAAAAGGCAGATTTTTTTTCATGCATGTTTCTGAACTCATTTGGGATGAAATCATTCCTTTTATTTGATACCTCAGAAGCACTGCAATGATAAAAGGAGATTTTTCACATAATCTCTCAGTGTTTATTTTTTTTTTAGCTGCCAAAGGGTCAGAGTTTCTTTCTTTTACAATAGATGCTAAATAGCTGCTACAGAGGGGAAGTAAAATATTTTATCTTCAATATTAGATGTGCTAACAGAATAGAAAAATGGTGTTAGGTGTAACTTCTTCTTAAAGAGCTTTTTATTTCACAGATAATTCTTGAAACCGCTAGAGGCTTATCTTTTTATGAATAACCGGGTAAAACAATTACTCTGTAATGTGGAATATTTTAATATCAATTACAGATATTTGATCTTTCCCTGGATACTCTGTTGTACATAGGACAAAAAACCAGTTGCATCTTCATAGTGATAGTCTGAGTGAGGGCCACGTCCAAATGAAAAAACCCTGTCATTTTGGTGCCCACAAATATGAGGTGTTTTAGCTCCTGATACAGAAAACACAAATCTAATTAATGCACTATGCAGCTTAGAGAATGTCTCAGTTTACCTTCTTGTGAATTTTCTACATCTGTAGATTTTACTCTACACTTGTACTAGGAAGTTAATTAATTGCAGGAAATATTCTTTGGACACTGTGACTCATCTTTGGCAGTTCTTGATGTATTTTTGGCTAGGGCTCATTCACTAACAAAAAAATTCTGGTCCTGGTTTAGCAGTTAATATGGGCCAGAGCCCACTGTCAAGAAGTGGATTGCACAACACAACCCTGCTTTGCAAATATCCTTTCTCTAATGACTTCCATGAGTCCTAAGTGTGAGCTAATAAGCTAAGGGCTCAATTCAACAATCACTTACTGTCAAAACAATTTTCTGTTTTCTATGAATAGTCTCCATATTTCCTCTAATAGTTACATTTTCTCATGTCAGAATTTAATTAGATCAGTATTTTAAAGGTATAGTGCAATCCTTTAGTGGCACTAATTAGATGAATGCAAATTGCATTTATTTACGTGATAGAGTTGGGTTTTAGACATTAGTTCCAAGATCCATAATGCAAAAGCTTTCATGGAATACACCCAAGTGTATTGGTGCCCTTCTGAAATACCTTGCACTGCTGGTGTACTGGTATTTATGAGATAAGTATTAAATGGCCATGAAGCAAAACTGAACTTGTTTGGAATATGAACTAGATTTTTAAAATAATTATTAATCATCAGAAACAGTAAAAGTTGTTGTAACGTCTCCATCAGCCTCACTGGCCAAATAAGATTCATCTGGTATACAGAAATCATTTAGGCTTAAGGTTCTGATGTTAACAAAAATACTTCCTCTAAAGCATAAGCTCATTACTGAGAAAAAATGAATGAAAAGCAGAATTAAAATTATTTCATAAACTGAAATTGTGACTAAATGCCCTTATGACTAAGACCAGTGCTGTCAAATGGTTTACTGAAGCTTTTAGGCCAGTGAACATAATTTTTATCCTGTTTTTTTTTACAATCTGTAATACAATAGGAGTCTTTCTGCCCCAGGTATCTTATCATTGCAATTTAACTTCATTGCTGGAAGAAAAAAAAAAAGAAAATGGAAAGGACAATGAAAGAAAGACTAGAAATGCAAGTCTTCCTTCATATATTGCAAAGATTAGGAATACTTAAATCAAAACCTTTGCTTTTTGTTCAATGGAAATATTGTTAATTGGAGTTCATTCCATTCATGCAAGCAATATCTATATATCAGACACATAAAAAAAATTATGTGGCTTTGTTACTGAAAGGCATATTCAACAAAGTAAATCTCTTCATTTTCTGTATCACTTGTTTAAGGCTGAGAAAATTGCTGTAATACCAGCTGTGTCTTCAGTGTGATGCTACTATTACTATAGTTAGCAATGTTAACCTGAAGAACTTGGTAAGTGGCTTCAGAAGAATCTAGCAACAGTTTAAATAAGGTTTTCATCTCTTCTTGACTGTGAAAGACCACACTGATTAAAATGTCCACATGAAAACAATATACAAACTAAACTGGACTCAATTTTGCCAGATTCCTCCTCGTATAGCAAAGCAGAACTAATTTTTTTCACAATGTAATTTTTGTCGCAGTTTAAAGTTTGGCAAAGCAGTCATCGAAGTAGGATGAAACTACTTGTGTGGTATTATCACAGAATCATAGAATGGTTAGGGCTGAAAAGGACCTTAAAATCATCTAGTTCCAATCTCCTGCCATGGGCAGGGACACCTTCCAGTAGACCAGCTTGATCAAGGCCCAGTCGAAGCTGGCCTTGAACACTGCCAGGGATGGAACAGCCACCACCTCTTTGGATAGCCTGTTCCAATACCTCACCACTGTCACAGTAAAAATTATTATTATTATTATTAAAATATTAATACATATGATAAAGGAAAAATAATACATTATTACTGTTTTTATGTGTCTTCATAGTGTTTGTTAAGATGTTGCAGTTTCAAGTATTGCCATGTATAACAAAAAAAGTGAAGGTAATGTTCCATATGAAAACACAAGTAAACCTCACTTGTTTTGTGTGGATATTTTAAATCAGAATCTGTTAAAATCCTTTGGGGCAAATTTACTTTGCATGAAGTGGTCGTAAGTGCCTCAATGTCACTGATATTGGTATCTAAGCCAAGCAGGAAAAAGACATAGTTTGTCAGCCCCACAGGAGAATGATATTCTGTCAAGAGCCATGAGAGCAAGTCTGGCTTGGTCTCCCGCCAAAGGGAGAACGTACCAGCCATCCTGAGACACACTAATGAGCCCAAGGCTCAGAAATGAGGGCACAGCAGCAAGGGTCTGGGTTCTAGCAGCTGCTGGGTAAGAGCACAAGAAGTCACAGAGGATTGCCATTTTTTTCAAACCAGGCTTAGCTTTAAAAAAGCTTTGGAACAACTGCTCCAGGTTAAGTAGCATGGAAAAATGGGAACGTCATGATCCCAGATGCCCTCCTTGCTCTACAGCAGTCTGAGGCTCAGATAGAAGCAGAGTGTCTAAGTTTTAAGAGGCAATCATAGTGAGTTCTCCTGGCTTTCCCAGAAATGCCACAACTTCCATAACTCTTTAAGGCATTGTATCTTATTTTACTATATAACAATATATGGAAGATTATATCAATTTAATGATAGAACCATCTATATTTCTTATCAGCCTCATAGTCCATCACATGAGCTTTGATAACTGGCTTAAAACTTCAGTACCTTAGACTTCCTTTCCCCACCAACCAAATAATTATTGTTTTGTAGACAAAATGATAAAAAGCAACATTTTAACGTTATTTATCTTAAATGTGCCAGAGCTGGCTGACCAGACAAGCTAAAATAATGAAATCAGTGACCCCCATGCCACACAGACTTGCCTTGATATGCTATGGTATGCCTCTATGGCCAAAGATTACAGGCCTGTGGGGTCATGAAGCTAAAACGACCCCTTAGTTTTGAGTAACATTTCCTTAGCCTTCCTTTAATGTAATTTCTAGTTTACCAAGCGTGTGTTTTGGTCACATCCATTGTGACCAAAATGGATAGATCATATGAGAAGAGTCTGCAGCATGTCCTATAGTATATATGTTACTATGGTATTAATACACTACTGTGCAGACACACAGAAATGTGAATGGAAATAGAGGGCTCCATCACTCTTGAAAGCTTACAGACTTGATAAAATACTCTTTTTTTAGCCACTTACTTCCTACTGCACTCAAGTCAACCTGATTAGCTACCAAGTAATTTTCAAATGTTAATTCAATTTTTAAATTTGGAGTCAGTTGGCAACAAATCTTCCCTTGCTATACCTGGATACCCTTAATTGATTTTGGCTGGAGAAAGAATACACTTAAACAAAAGACAAACTAATTTCAGACAAAAATAGATTATATTTTTATCATGTTAGTGTTCTGGCTGAATAGAAATTTAAACATTTTCTTTCACTTAAAGAAAATGTCATCAATTTTCATTAAAATTATATATTGTGTCTTTCGTTTTTTTTTTTGAACTATTGAAAAGTCCAGAGTGGAATTTTCTGACAGATGCAGAGATTGCCTGTAGTTTCCATAAGGACTCAGATCTGGAAGTAAAATCTTTGTTAATTTTTGGTTGCATCTTCCTAGCGTCTTATTTTAGAACTGTATGTGGACTGTGATGACAGTGTTGGGCAAACAACTTACTCAGACCAATACTTTCAAATGTGAAAATTGAAATAGGAAGCCAAAAGCAATTATGAGAAGTGTATAATCCATGAAACTGTTTATAATTAGAAGAGATGATGGTGTACATCTCAACCAAACTCTAATTCATGTATCCTACTCTTAACAATCAAGGTATTTTGAAAATGCCTGCTATATTGCTGAACACATTTAAATTTCTTTCTAATGACCAAATTCAACTTTTCATATTTGCATTCAATGCAACCTACTACAATTAGTTCTCCTATTACTAACAAACCAGGCTAAAAGGAATTATTATAGAACTAAAAATACTGAGAATTGTTCTTTCTTCGTAAGTTTTGGAAAGCTCCTTCAGTGTACTTTTCAATTTTATTTTGTGATAGATCAGCTTTACAAAACAACAATCCCACGAAAACATTCATGAGGGTTGTTCCAGTCATTGTTAGAACTATTCTCAGAACCAAAGAGTACACAATGGAACTTTTTTTGCCATTTTCTCTTCTTTGCATAGGCTTTGAAGTGATGAATATCTGAACAGTATGCCTACCAGTGATCCTTCTGTACTGATTTTATTTCTATGAAATCAACAGTATTTTGCACTTTAACACTGCCTCCAACTGCTCAAGGTAGGAAAACCAATTACAGAATTTTCTTGCACAACAGGAGGTAACATGATTTCCTGAGGCAGTGAAAACAAGGCCCCTGAGGCAGATCTGGATCATAGTTTCAAAATGAAGTGGCTCATTGGTTTTCAGATTCTTTTGCATTTTGGTTTGGCAGTAGGATAAATTATTGGAAAATGATTTGACATGTTCAGGTGTCTGTTAGCTATTCAAAATATGCTCACGGTGCAACAAAAATGAGAGTTTGAGTAAGAATCACTTAAAGGATAGCAGAAGAATTTATTTTTGTAATTACAATTTTTGTGTGGTAGCTGAGCATTGGAATAAGCCTTTGACAATGGTATTTTTTAGTAAAATGCTAATAACACAGGTTAAAAAAATTAAATTTGAAATAGTAAAAATTCTGGTCACTGTGAAATAGAGGAAATGTTTATTGTAATAACACTTTAAACCAATGTAAAATCCTCTGATCTATTACCTATTACAACAGATACCAACAAAAGACATTATCTACACTGTATTTTACCTTTGAAAACTAATGGCCTGAAACTGCCAAGATCTGAATTACTTCTATAGTACCACTTACATGAATAAGGACTATTCATGGAATTGTCAAGAGCAAATCATGTCAAACCGATCTAATTTCCTTCCACTCTGTGGTTACAAGCTTTGTAGGTGGAAGAGAAGCAGTAGATGATTTTTTTTGTATCTTTAAAGCTTTAAATAAATCTCACACAAGAACAGAATCGTGGTTTTGATGAAACTTCCATGGAGTGGGTGTAAAATGGCTGGGAAACCCAAACTATAACCAATTATGAGTGCTTCAGTACTAGTATTAAAAAAACCAACAAAGAAAACCAAACAAAACAAATCAGGTGGCATTTGTCCCAGCTACAAGTCTCTTTGTTCTTTTAATTAATGTCCCAAATGATGAAATTGTATATATTTATTTGCAGAGAACAAACACATAAAGGACCAAGCTCTTGGCCACCCACTGTGTAGGTAAAGAGGAGAATTCAGAAGGCACCGACCAGCTGAAGGAGTGCCACAGGGAAAACAGGCAGGACAGCCAGCGGGGACAAGTGCAACACTGTGAGGAATAACCCCTAACCACTTTGTAATACGTGTGGTCACCCGGTATTTTCCCCTTGGGCCCAGTTTTCTTACAGACAGCGGAAGGGAGCTGCTTTCTTGTGCTGCGGCTGTTTTACAGTGCCACCGCTCGGCACTCTATTCGGGAAGGCGCTGGTTTCCCCCGAGGTCCCCAGCTGCAGCCGTTCTCTCAGCACAAAATCCTCCATCTCCAGCAAGGTCCCCTCGATCCCGGAGCCTCATGGGTCCGCTCAGCCCCACCGAGGGGCGCAGGGATCCGGCCGAGTTGACAGAATCCGGGCTCGGCTCAAGGGGCGGGCCGAGGCGTGGCGAGACGGCGCCATCTCAGCGCGCCGGGGCGGGCCGGCGACGGGTATGGGGGCTCCTGCTTGGCGCTGGGCACTGCGCGCTGCCAGCTTCCCCTTCAGCGGCGGGAGGTCTTCAGCAACGCCGCGGCGTGACCCAGGCTGCGGACCCGCCGTTTGCACCGCTCAGTTTGCCGACTCCGCGGTGAGTGAAGCGTGAGTTCTCCGCCGTGCGCCAGGTCCGCCTCGGGGAGGGAGGGGAACGGCATAGCCCTGCCTGCCGGTCGCGAAGGGTCGGGCGGTCCGTGGGCTTGAGGGGGATTCCCGGGGGCCCAGGAGGCAGGAGGGCAGTTGCGGTCCAGATCCTCTCGGGGTCCCCTGTGGTGCTGTGCCGTGGCGCAGGCGGTTCAGCAGCTGCTCCGTGCTGTGGGGGTACGGCCGCTGCAGCCTTAGTGGCGCGGGGCGGTCTGCTGGGGAAATGGCGGGACCGAGCAGGGAAACGCGAGTCTGCCTGTTTTATGCCTGGACCCGGGTCAGTTCTGTGGAAGTAGCGAGTAGTCGCTCGCCACCTGTAGTGGTGGTAGAACTGGGCCACTCGATAGCGGGTGGGATGCTGCCGGAATCGATGGAGACTGCTGTCCCGCGAAGTGCCCGCAGGGTGCTCTTAGCTGTCGTGTACCTCTTCTTCCGAAATAACGGCTCGGGGGCACTTGCTGCAGCGAACCGGCACTCGCATAGATGCCTCTGCCACTGCTTGGGAGGGACCGCTTTCTGGAGAGCTGCCTGGGCTCCATCGGCGGCTCAGCACCGAGGGCTTCTCTTCCTTCGTTGTTAGATCTGAGAGGCGTGCTTGAAGCAGCTGTAACGTAAAATGACAGCTAGGTTTAGCCTGTTTTTTAAAGATTCCAACTTTTTAATGGTATTTTGGTTTATTTTAATACAAGCCGTCATTATTTATTTATTTATTTAATTATTTTTAAGTGTTAAGATCATCTTTAACTGTTTGTCTAAAGAAAATGCCCCCTGGGGTGATTTTTAAGCAGGTCCCATTCCACCCAGCTTGCCTGCCTGTGAAACAGGCTGCGTTTGAGAGAAACCACGTGTTTTTGGACCCATAGTGAAAATTTCTCAGCGTGCAGGTGTGTTCTTCCCTGTCTGCTTTCTCAGCGAGAGCTGCAGGGTGGTGCATTCGTATTCACTGGGTTTCTGGTTTTGTTAGTCCTCAGGCTCCAGGGATGAGGCTCTAAGGGACAAACGTGCCCGGATCCTGTCACGCGGGCTGCCGAAACAGAAGCCCATAGAAGGAGTTAAGCAGGTGGTGGTGTTGGCTTCTGGAAAAGGGGGAGTTGGAAAATCAACAACAGCAGGTAAGATTTGTTTGTTTACTTTGAACATTCTGTAATACTTTGTAAGGAAAATTTGGGCACTTGTCAGTTCCTTTGGAATTGAGTCCCACTAACACAGCCCTTCACCTGTGTTAAGTCCCATTACAGCCATTGAGAATCTGTCTGGGTACAAAGGTATTGGCTTTAAATGAGATACAAATTGAGCAGACAGCTTTGAAGCAGTATCTTCGTTATAGTTAAGTGCTGTCCCAGGACACCTCAGGTGGAGGGGATCATATACCGGTGCAGTGATACTCTTCTTTCTTCCCTAGCAATGTAGGTGTGCCTGTAGAGTGCTTCTCTGTGCTATGTCAGCAGAGTCATGTGCTCTGTAGGGGATACTGATATTTAGAAGGTTTCAAAATCGGGCCTCTGTCCAATCTTCTCAACTACTTCTGTACGCATTTCATAAATGAAAGGTGAAGTAGTGGTTATAAGTCACACAAACTGATCAGAGCTTTGTGAAACACCTTAAACTTCTCTCTCAGCCCAACCATTAGGTGCTGAATCAAATTTTCTCTTAACTGTGCAGTTCCTAGGTGGTAGAGCAAGATAGTACACGGGATACTAGTACTTCAGAAATTTGCTTGAATTTAAAGATGCCATTGAAGGTAAACCTTTTTGAGAAGATCTCTGGCAAGAAATTTGTGTAAAAAGCTCTTCCTTAGCATCTAGATTGGAAAAGAGTCATTCTTTAGTTGAATATTATCTACTATTCATCTCCATTTGCTGTGATTAACACATTGATATAGCTATTAATTTATCATTTTTTGGTTTGTACTTCAGCCGTGCTTGAAAAGGACTTTCTAAAAAAGAAAAAAATACTAGAACAGCAAACACATCCATAGTAAGAGTAACTGTACAAACAATGCGGAAATTATTTCTTTCTGTACATAGGATAGACATAAATACTATCCTATTCCATAGGATACATGTACCTGAACAAAACTATGCAAAACAGTCAAGACTTGCATTTCTTAATAATGTACCTTTTTCTTTATGGTTATAATTAATATGCTGGTTGTTTCAGGTTACTGAAAATACCAAATATCTGTTTGTAAACCAACAATTTACAAAATGAATGTAATTTGAACAGTAAGTTCAGATTATCCTCCTTGTGTCTGCAAACAGATGTGCTAGTTTAAGTTCTGCTAACTGGCATCTGTGTGTAATTTGTGTGTATCTGTAATTTATACATAAAGTATGATGTGTATCATTAATAATCCTTTGAGCTGGGAGTTCATAACAGTACATTTTAAAATAAAAAATCAGTTTTCAACAAGCATTAAATAAGAGTGTTGAAATGTAAATGAAACATTCAAATGTTGCTGTTTTGGACATCCTTTTGTTACCGAATGTATTCATTTGTAATGTTGAGAACAAGTCTAGATTCCTGTTTATTAAAATGAGATTACATGGTTCAGATGAGCAACTGAAGATCAAATCACTCATTAGCAAAAAGCATTGCATGGCATCATTGCTGAATGATGTACATAGAATGATGTTTTTCGTAATGGAGGATTGTGGGAAACATGTTTGGTGATAACTCTGCTGACTCACTTTGAGAGCAGGACTTGAAAAGAAAGGAGGGACAGGTGCACTTCTAGTTCCTAAATCATCACAGAAAATATAGTCAGTCTTATTTTCTGCATCTCTCAGAAGGACTGCCAAGGCTCTTCATATTCTTTCCTTCAGCGCATTTATGTTTATGTTTCAGTTGCTCTGGGTCTCCATTTCAGGATAGGTGGGTATGCATTCTGGTCAGGTTTGTCAGGGCCATTCATTAACCTGATGAGTTACTTTGCATTTAGCTTTCATATTGTATTCTCTGTTGCTTCTAGCGTTTTTGGGTCTTGTGAAATCAATGTAGCTAATTATTAAAAGAATATTTAATGCATGTTTAAATACTTTGGTTGGCTTTTTTGTTGTTTTTTGTTTCCTAGTGTGTTAGTATGATTGTTACCTGTGTCTTTCCTGTGAAGTTTCTGTTGTATTTACTCCATCTGGCCAAATGTGGGTTGTTTTTGTTGTTTTTTTTTTGTTTGTTTGCTTACTGTTTATGTTCCCCCAGCAATATTAACTGTGTTTTATTTCTTCTCTTTCATGTTTTTATTGTGCATGTAGGATGTGCTCTTACTGAAACTCACTTTTTCAAGGTAGAAGCTCAAATTCACCTGTTTCCCTGACCAACCCAGACACAAGTCCAGGCTTTGGCAAAGGTGCTGATACTGTTAGTTCATGGTTGTTTTCCAGGACTGATGTCATGTTTCGTTGATTCTGTGCTTTCCTTACTTGTTAAAAAAAAAAAAAAAGATAAAAAGTCATAAACCAGTTACTCTATTTCTAAAATCCATTTACAATAAGATGTAAGTGTTGAAAGTTATCTTTCAGAGAGTTCATCTTAGTTATAGGTATCTTACTGATGATGCAGATTAACTGTGTCACAGATGTAGGCACACATTCAGCAGCCTCTATACGTGTCTGATTTGGGGCCAAGAAGTTTTATTTATACTGTTAGTTCAGTGTTCTGAGAATTCAATTGTGCTGTTCCTAAGCCAGTTTGGATTGGGAAGTTACAAGGCCCAAACTGAAAAAAACCCACCTTCTCAGACTTGTACTGATTTCAAGAGATCTCCTTGTGCATCATTTTTTATACTGGTTGGCTGGCTTAGCATGGCAACTTTTCTTGGAGATTGCTGTGAAGTTTTAAAAATTAATTAAAAAAAAAAAAGTCGTATTGGACTTCCGTAATGTATCTGCTCTGCTTTTCTGGACACTTGTTTATAGGAACTTACTTGTTAGGGCCAACATAGAATCATAGAATAGTTAGGGTTGGAAAGGACCTGAAGATGATATAGTTCCAACTCCCCTGCCATGGGCAGGGACACCTCCCACTAAACCATGTCACCCAAGGCTCTGTCCAGCCTGGCCTTGAACACTGCCAGGGATGGAGCATTCACAGCGTCCCTGGGCAACCTATTCCAGTGCCTCACCACCCTTACAGTAAAGAACTTCTTCCTTATATTCAATCTAAACTTCCCCCATTTTAAGTTTTAACCTGTTACCACTTGTCCTTTTTAACCTGTTACCCCTTGTCCTATCACTACAGTCCCTAATGAAGAGTCCATCCCCAGCGTCCCTATAGGCCCCCTTCAGATACTGGAAGGCTGCTATGAGGTCTCCACGCAGCCTTCTCTTCTCCAGGCTGAACAGCCCCAACTTTCTCAGCCTATCTTCATATGGGAGGTGCTCCAGTCCCCTGATCTTTCTCGTGGCCCTCCTCTGGACTTGTTCCAACAGTTCCATGCCCTTTTTATGTTGAGGACACTAGAACTGTACACAACACTTCAAGTGAGGTCTCACAAGAGCAGAGTAGAGGGGCAGGATCACCTCCTTCGACCTGCTGGTCACACTCCTTTTGATGCAGCCCAGGATACGGTTGGCTTTCTGGGCTGCAAGCGCACACTGCTGGCTCATGTTCATTTTCTCATCGACCAGCACCCCCAAGTCCTTGCCACAGGGCTGCTCTGAATCTCTTCTCTGCCCAGCCTGTGGCTGTGCCTGGTATTTCTCTGACCCAGGTGTGGGACCTTGCACTTGGCATGATTAAACTTCATGAGGTTGGCATCAGCCCACTTTACAAGCGTGTCAAGGTCAGGTTAGGTCCTGTATTGTATCTCTGCACCCTCTTGGAACTGGTGGTAATACAAAGACAATAGAGTGTAGGAATCAGGTGGGATTCAACAGAGAAGATGAGGTGTCCAGCTAGATATCCAGCTAAAAACTTCAGGTTTTCCCACTAAATTATTCCTGCTGTATCTAATTTTTTCCTTTGATAATCAAATATCTTTTATTGAAGAAATATTGTGGATTGTACTTTAATTTTCACCCATGGTAATTTTATAGGAAGACGATGGATGAAGAAAATGGTTTAATGACAGTGTGTGGAACAGCTTGCTTCCTTTGTGCCTTTTCATACATAAGCTGCAGTTGATTTTTTTTTTTTTGTTTATTGTTGTTTTGCTGTTTTTTCTCATTAATCTAGGATTTGCAGATCAATCTCCAGGTTTCAGAGGATTAATTTTCCACTGATCAGTTCAGGGAATGGCTCAAGCAACTGTTTAAATAGCAAGCTGAAGAATAAAATCTATATGCTTTCTCAGCTTTGGAGTAAACAGAGGCTGTGTGCCTCTTAGGGAGATTTTATTTATTAACCTTCTCACCATTTTGTTTAAAGGAACTTATCTTTCTGAATACCAGGTTTCTTAAGATGGGAATCTGTCTCCCTAGCTTCTTCTCAGCACCTTCATACTCTTCCATAAAACAAGGCTGACTCAATTTGCCTTTCTTAAAAGGCTCTGTGGGCTGATACACAGGAGTGTGTAAAGAAAACAAAAGATGTTACCTGAGAAAGAGCTGTGTCTGTGGTGGTGTATTTTCTGCGTTTTGCAGTTTGTTTTGTTGTTTGGGGTGTTTTTTGGTTTTTGTTTTTTTTTTTTTTTTCCCCTTTCTTTTAAAATATGTTACTGCTTGGATTACAACAATTACTGTTTGGTTATACTGAAGCTTAATAAGAGGTCTTCCAATATAATTGAAGCTCCTGAGCCATTAAAAGAGAGCATTTTTTTATGTGTGTTTTTTAGTTATGGGAGTTAATTATTGATGGAAATTTAAAAGCTGTAATCAAACTCACAGTCTTTTCAATTGCTTCACCCTGTTTTTCTGTTTCTTTAGTTGTGGCAGATGCTCTCAGGGTAAATCAGATTTTGTTTTCTGACATAAAAATCAAGTGAAAAGCATTACATGTTATTCCAGAAAATATCCATGTGTAATATGTCACAAGAAATCAAAAAAAAGAGGTGCGATCATGTTTCTGGTCATTGTACTTTGATAGTTTAGATCAATACTTACCTAATTTCTAGTTTTAAGAAAGTTCACTAGAGGCGGTGGCGAAGGTTACTGTTTGTAGGGTTATTTTATAGGGTCCACTTTTCAAAAATCGAGTGGGTACCTCAAAATTTTGTTTCCTAATGTTATCTTTTGGCAAAATGCTTAGATTGTATTTTTATTTTTCAGTGTACTCTAGAAACTCAGAATTTGCAAATTGTTGCAGATGAGTTTGTTAGCCTGTTAGCAAACATGGACTGAGATATAGGTGCTGCTGCCACTTAAACTAGCAATATTGTAGAGGTGCAAGCGGCTAAGAGCCAAGATGATGAATGCAGTGATTAAGTAAGTGTGATGTATTTATATTTTATCTTGTTAGTGATGATAACATTGGTAGCAGTGATAATACTTAGGAATCAAATTTTCTTGCACCTAATTATTTTTTTTTTCTCTTTCTTGCAGTAAATATAGCCCTCGCCCTAGCAGCAAATGATCCGGTAGGTGAACATCTAATTAATGTGAAACAAGCATGTGTGTCATAATTAAAATGGTTACTGCTGGGGGCAGTCGCATACATTAAATCTTAGTATTTACTCTGACAGTTAATTTCTTTACATGTTTTTCATGGACCTTTGAGATTATTTGTTTTTATTTTATCTGTACCATGAATGACTTAGTAGCCTCCATCTGGGTTTGTCTGTGTCCTTTCCCTTGTGTATCTTTAAGTTCAACTGCAATTCTGCAAGGCTGTGTAGACATAGTAGAGGATGTTTGTGCAGGTTGGACACACATAATAAATAATTAAACTCTATCACTTCAGAGCACTGAGTAGGAAAAAATATGAGTAAGTGCTGGATGGCATCCAAAACATTTTTTACAGCTCTAAAGATTCACTTTTTCTGGAGAAATTAATGTGTAAATAAACTTTATAAATAAACATCTGAGAGCAAAAAAGAGCTGTGTATCTTCCCTAAAGCTTGGAAATACATTGAGTGACAAAATATTGTTGGCCAGTTTGGTACTGTTCAAGCTGTTATTTGGACTATAAATGGACAGTGGGAATCATTCAAGTGTAAGAGCAACAGCTCTTTGTTCTGTCTACCCACTGCTGTAAACTGGGAGTAGTGCCATTGTGTACATTTATTGCCATAGAGCAAAACTTGGAGGCAAGCTTCACTTTCTATGTAAGGGTGTAGTATATAATGCATATTTTGTACTTGTAAAGCATTAATTAAATAGAAGGTATCCTCAAGTACTTTAAAGGTAGCATCTTTTGTCCTTGCAAAGGATGAGTAAAAGAAAACAGGTAGAGGGAGTGAGTTTTATATGAGATCTGCACACTTGCTCTAGGAATTTTATAATAGGTTTAAAAAAAAAAGTCCATAAACTCAGTCATACTTGATAAGAGAGTGTTTAAAGCTGTTATATGAAATATGTACTGTTTGTAATAGCATCTGATCTGATATTTCACAGTTTTTAGTTCTGTATTTTAAATAGGCTGCTGGAGTAATTTGATTTCAGAGAAAAATCTATCATCTTGAAAAGCAAAACTGCTTGAATGGTTCCTTCTAATTAACTTTAAGACATGGCATTTGCTGTAATACTTTTACAGAATGAATGTGATCCTGCAATGTGATCTGTATTGTGGCAGGGTCATTGAGTAGTTCCATGGAAACCATGTCAACTAATTGCACATAACTTTCTGTACCAGTTTAATTGTTTTTAGAATTGTGCCAGATACTTTTCAAACATCCAGTTTTGTGCATTGTTTAGATAAAGCATCTCTCAGTAATTCTGACATACACAAGTTTTGGGATTCTGCCCTTTGTTAGGAGTCAAGTATCTGTCTTTAAACATAATAATGTGATACACTGCTTCAGTAGCCCATTGAAACACTTGTAAAGCACGCAAATAAGAGAGACCATAGTCTAGAGTGATTGAAGAGGTTGTTGCTGGAGTTATTTGGAAAATCAGGGACTGAGAAATAATTGTAAATTAAATTGAGCCAGTGAAGTTAAATAGACACAGAATAAGCTAGTCATTTTTGATGTTATGATTATGTAGTGGTATAAAATTGGAGGCCAGCATCTGGAGGATGTTAATCAGTGAAGAGCAGCTGAAATTGATGACATAGCTGTGACTTGCATGCGCTGATGGTCACAAGCTAGCAAGCTGCTGCCTTGGTGCAGTTGTGCATTGTATAATTAGACAATACAAAATTAAGGTGGATTGAATAAGCTTAACTCTATGTTTGTTCATGCATTAATATATATATATATAAACATAATGAAGGCATACATCGTGTTTATGTTAAGTCTTTGGGCTTCAATTTGCTGGTGTGTTTATTTGCATACTCCCATTGGTTTTGGCTCACTAGTTTTGTGAGTCAGGGTTATGAAAGTAGTATCCTGGGACCTTGGTCCAGGCTGTGATTGTCCAGTGCTCTGAGTTGTAGGCATCATCGCAATGTTTGGTTTTCTTGTGGTGAAATAACTAAAGTGGTTGTTTTTCAGAGTCCGTTGTTGCCTTCTGCTGAAGTTTATAGTGAATTTCATTGATCTCAGATATGCAGCAATGGACCTCCTAATTTTACTTTTAATAACTACTGATTGTGCATCAGCTTCATGTGGTTCCCCTTCCCTTCATGGCTATTTTAAGTTCACCTCTTTCTGAGGAAGCAGTAATGTTGCTGTTAGTAGATTAGAGCATCAGCAGCCTCCTGCAGCTTCATTATAGTCCTTATGTTTCTTATAAGGCAAATATAGATTTATAGAAACCAATTCTTGATGTACTGCTTGAAGGAGGTATGAAAGGGCTTGTGAAGAAAGGTAGGTCACCATGACAATACAGATCTGTGCTTCCTTCATTACATACAGTCTCTTTCTGTTACAAGTTCAATGTTTGTAACTAGATTTTCAAAGCAAGTAGTATACCAGAGCTAAATGACTTTAAAATAATGTTGTCTTCTGATCTCTCAAGTGTTCTTTTTCTAAGATTACAGGTCACAGACTATTGAGAACAATGTTTTCTAGTGAGGGAGATCTGAGGAATGTGTTTTCAGAGGAGATTGGATTAGAATAGATTCTTACTGCTTTCAGCAGCAGCTGTGACATCGCATTGTTGTTTGATAATGTCATAAGAAGGAAGAAGATTAACAGCCAAAGCATAAGGAATATTTTGTCCTCTTGATAAAAGAAAGCTTCCTTCCATTTTCTCTTAAAAGTCTACTTAATATAGTTAAAAAAACAAAACCAAATCCCCACTGTTCATGTAGATAGGTTTTCTTTTCTCCGCTTCTTTTCATGTGAAAGCTTTTCCAGTCATACGATTGTTTGAAGTATTAAGGCATCGACAGAGCCTTGGACATTGTCATTGGCATACAGTGTTGTTGGCAGAGCTGTGATTAGAATTCAGGAGTTCAAGCCTTGCATGCTGGTGCTCAGTCTGTTTGGCATATTTTTGCCTCATGGTTACAGAATAAATAATTCAAGATAGGATTTCATTTAGATGCCTAGATACCACATCCAAGACGAAGTAGGTTTTACGGGGAGTTTTGTTTTGTTTTGGGTTTCTTTTGGTGTTTTTTTTTTTTTTGTGTGTGTGTGTTTTTTTTTTTTTTTTTTATATGCAGTGCCAGGGAAGCAAGCCTGCATTAGAGGGCAGTGTCTTATCCCTTTCTGGAATATTAGGGTTTTGGTACCCCAGGTTACCTGTTGTAGATGGATTAGTTAAGAATTGTGTAAGCCCTTGGGCCTGTACCAAGATGTATAAATCTATACAGTGTTCTTTTTGTGTTAACTTAAAGTTCTACCCTTGTGTCCTGTTTTTAATTGCTTGTGTAGTTTGACAGCTGATTCTTTTCATTCTTTTGGTGTACTAGCAGCTCCCCTAGGAGCACTTGGGAAGAATTTTTGGGTTTCGTGCCAGGACGATTCATATTCAGACTAGAATGACTATTTATGAAAGCTGCCTGGCCAGAGACAATTTATTATAGTAGAAACAAGTTGAATTAATAGATGGCAGCAATAATAGGATAGAGATTGCTTGTTTATGAACGGAGTATTTTAGTGAGCAAACACCAGCTGTGCATGACTAAGGATGGCACAAATCCAGTTGGGAGGCTGCATGCTTGTGCTGTCACTGTTAGGCAAGCTCCCCAGTCAGATTTCCTTTGACTCTCCTTTTCTTTCCAGGAAGATTTACATTTTTCCCTATCAGATGAAATGGTTTTTATGTTGCAAAGGACAGAGGAGCAAATAACACCATAAGGAAAAAAATCAGCATGTAGGCGTAAGCAAGTGGCTTCTGCTTGCAGTGCTGGGGGACGTGATTAAATGCATCACTTATAACTATTCCAGCCTAACTCTTTGTCAGGGGATTACTGGGTCAAGCTGACGAGGACCAACATTTGAAATACAAAATTTGAAATACAAGTGTGAGTTATTTTAGGGAGTGGCCTTTGTTTTAGCAAGCAAACCCACTGGTTGCTGAGCAACGTAGTATTTTAAATGGAAGACCATCCAACTCTGTGTCCGCATGCAGGCAGGCAGGGCGGGCTGGCAGGGCAGGCTAGCAGCAGAGGGAGTGCGGGAGGCCGAGCATGGTGCTTCTCCCCCTGGCGTTTTGTTTAACCTCCGGCACTGAAAGGCCAAACACTTTGTCTTGTGATGTAAATAAAGCTGGAGAAAGTTGATGATTAGCTACATGAAAAACACTTATTCAAACTATTATCACAGTCAAAATGTCACAGTGCAGGGTTTGTTTTTATTCTTGAAGCAGAAAACTCGTGTGGATATATTATATGCATACACGGTTAAGAGGTTTCTCACTAATACATAATAAGTTATAGCATAGACATTATGTAGTTGTGAGCAGAGTCTTTGTGTAAATTCACTGTTGTGGTAATAAAACTAGTTTTACTTATTTCAAACTGCATATTTAATCAAACAGCACATTCTAATTTTGAAGCTACCCAAAACCCACTCAGCCTATTTTCCTAACATTCCAGCTTTTTTTCAGATATTTAGTTCTTGCAATTAAACTATTTGTATATAGGATAATACTTGATTACTGCATTAATAGGTAACCTCACAATGTATATACATTTCTTTCTGGTAAGGAAAAAAATTCCATATGTGGGGAACAAACAAATCTAGAAGAATTTAGGCAATAATGGGCTCCTTCATTGAGTAGAAGGAAGTTCTTCAGTTGTAGAAGAAAGTTCTGACCTGTTTTATCCTCCTCCTCTGCAGCTTTCCTAATTATTAGGGTTTGATTTCTTTACCTTTGTTGCTTAGCAAATCAGAAGACTTTAGTTGCTATGGATAAGGTGTGCATACTTGTTACTTAATGCTAAGAAGTGTCAATAAAGCTGGAGATGCCAGTTAGAATTGACTTGGGTTATTTTGCAATGACAGGTCAGGTTCTATATCAGCTGAGAAAACGAGGGAATAGAGCTTGAAAAATCTTACTGTTTTCCAAGTAAAAAATGAGTAAA